TGAGTATTCTACCGATTTTACCTTCCTATTTTTTAGCATCTTTAATTACTTTCCATTAATATGACTTTTAATGTTTCGTATACGTGTGTCTTCTCTTCTCTTTGTTATTGATGCTGATTTTCCTTTTTCTTTTATTTTATGTTGGAACTTTCTTTCTAAATAAGGGTCGTAAGTTGCCAACATAAGTTTTACGCCATATGCTATTTTATTTATGTATTTATAATTATTATTTATCTTTCTTTTTCTTTTGAGAAATAAATGCAATTTTTACTGTTTTGAATGTGTACAATTGAATTTCTAATATTCTACTTTTACACATTATTATAAATGTATATCTTTTTTTTGTATAAATATATACAAGTATATATATCTTAACGGTGAAAAATAAATACTCCGTATTAACAATTTTCTCACTTATTCATTCTAATTATGCATTTTGTACATACCTTTTGTGAATTTGACAATTATGCACTTTTAGGCTTCTAATCTGCACTTTCGATTAATTGTGCACTTCTTAAAGTACATATTGCACTTATAAATGGTTTAGAATGCATTTAAAATTTATCACATATAGTGCACTTTTTCTGAGAAGAAAAGGCCCATATTTTGAAGAACAATAAAATTATAACTCGTGAATATTGCATTTCTAATATACACTTTTTGAAGTACACATAGGCTTCTAATATGGACTTTTTGAAGTACATATTGCACTTCTAGTGTTAACGTGATGCAATTGTGATTTATGCTACTCGTATTTCCTAAGATGCACTATTTTGAGGGGGATAGTGCACTTTTCAAAATCTCACTTTTATATGAGAGAATGTGCACATATAAAGTACAATAAAATTACAACACTTGAATATTGCTTAATATTAGGAGCAGTAATAGTAGTGGTGAGAAATCACAATGACAGTTATAATATCTATATAATATAATAAAGCAAACCCTTAAAGAACCCTTTAGAGGAATTGTTGACATGTGGCAACATCCTTTGTATAAAAAAGTGACACGTGGCAAAACAATAAATTAAAAAAAAAAAGCTATTCAACTTTCAAAACTCTACTTTTAAATATTCCAATATTATAGATATGTATTTATATTAATATATGTGTATATATTTGTTATAATTTTCAATATAAAATCAGGTAAAATTTTGCACTCGCCGGTATTACAAAATTCAAATACTAAAAAATAAACAATAATTAACAATTTTTAGCCACTCTTAAAATAAAAATATTACTTCTATTTCTTTTCTCATAAACTCTTGCAGGTTCTCCCTCATTCGGAATTTTTATAAATTGGTTCTTATTTGTTTCCAAAATATGATAATTAATACATCCTTCGTCTCATTCATTTTCTCTGATATTTTGTGTTTCTTTCATTCACTAAGTTTGTGTAGCTCCAAATATTATAATGCATATGTAGTTCTAAATCATTCTTACACTATTGTCCCTCCTTTTCATTTCAACATTAGCTAGATAAACGTTTTTTTAATAGCTGCACATGTCTCGATCTTAATGAGACAAATGTGATATTACTTATCTATTTATTAATTCACAAGGTCTACTAAATCAATGTCTAAAGGTAAATTCATTTTTTGTCACATATTTATTTATACTTCACAATTTATGTTCATGTTGTTAAATGGGTTAGCACTCCCCAATTGCATCGCTTGGATCGTCTAATTGCCTAATGGTCTCAAACGACGCACATTATTTTTAATGGGGGTGCACAATACACTTATAGTTAAAATAATGCAGACTTTAAATGGACAAGAAAGGTTGAATTTTTACAAAAATGTCACGACATTTTTTATTTATGATAGCACATATTTCTATTTCAAATCATGCACGAATGGCACGATTTATAAATCTAACATTCGCGTTCATTCTAATTCCTTTTTTACACGTTAAGGTGTCTTCTCATTTGAACTCAACCTTATATATATAATTTACAATTTTCAAATCTAATGTTCCGGTACATGTATAGAAATAATGCTAGAGTAAATTATTTGAATAATTAGTATATATAGAAATAATAGTTCAACAAGGGTTGTAAATTAAGGGCATCCCCATTGTTTAGATTATTTAGAGTTTAATTGAATGATGTGTAAAATTATTTTAAAGATTAACATTGTGAGTTAGAGATTATTTAGAGAGATTATTGATAAAAATAATCCGGTATCAAGATTTGAATCCCGGATTATTTTAGATTGTAGTTAAATTTCATTTAATGCATGGTCTAGAAAAACTAATTATTTCAATATCATGGTTGATGGAGAGATTTAAGATTTGAGATTATTTAAAATTTATTTAATAAATATGATGTGTCAATGATGTGTCAATGAAAAACCATTTATTTTAACATCATGAATGAAGATGCTCTAATAAGTATATTTGAAATTATTTTGGTAGAATAACATCAATATTGAAGATAATGAAAATAAAAAATAGATGTTTATATTTTGGTTTACTCGCAACCTGAATGGGTCAACTCACTTAACCTGCAACCCGTGCAAGTTGCACCACGAAACTGGTGAGTTCATTGGATTGAAGAATGACAATTCTAACCCACCGTGAAATGAGATGAAATGGGCTAACCCTATGGACTTCGACTCATTTTGACAGCTCTATCCATACTCGATTAAATTTTTCTTTTAAAAACTAATTGACGAATTCATATACAATTTATTTTCCCTACAATTTAATAAAAACTTTAAGCACATATTTTCCCGTGCAGTGCACGGGTACACATACTAGTTTATATATTATACTAGTAATGATTTGCAACGAAGTAAAAAAAGTGCACATTTATTAGTTGAAATATGCATGCACTAATATATTCGTATAATGCAGAGTTCTATGACCATTTAGTTCACTGCGAATTCTAAGGGATTCTAAATCATAATCAATCGTGCAAGTGAGCTGAATTCTTAATGATTTGGGTTTGATTTTTACGTGTTTGCCCCTATGCCGGTAACAAATTGATTGTTATTAAAGAGCATTAATTACTTGCCTAATATACCGTCCTGATTTAGACCTCAAGCCACGTTAGTTCCGTCCGTCGTATTACACACATCAATGGATATTATTTGTTCTCATTTCTTTCCTGGGAGAGTGTTCTCACCGGAATCGTACCTTGTAACAAATCCTTTTTTTATAACTATCAAAACTATCCCAATGATAATACGAGACTTTTCAAAACCAACCCAAATCCTTGTACAAAAGAAGAGAAAACATTGTTCGAGTGGATACCATCGTCTTGGATAAAGAAAAGAAAACGATAGAAGTCTTATTCGAGTGGATAATACATCAAACGAGTTATGATGCAGATCCAAATCAATCAACGAAAACACAGGTTCTGCCTTCTAGTTTAGATGGTCAGTGGTTGCAGATTAAGTGGAGCTCGTCGATTTCGTTGGCGGCAGGCCGGGAGGACGGCCATCGTGCGTGAGGTCTGCTCCAGCCGAAGGCAGTACAAGTCGACTACAATTGGGGTATTGCAAACTTAAGGGCCTGTTTACTAACAGATATATTTTCCAGTTTTCCAGAAAACTGGAAAACTGGAAAACAGAAAACAGGAAACATGTTTACCAAAGAAATTGCTGGAAAACTGGAGAAAGGAAAAAAGAAAAACGCGTTTACCAAATCGTTTTCCAAAACGAAAAAAATGAGACATGTCTCTCTTTTCCTTAATGATTTGGAGAAGTGACTTTTACTAGTTTTCCAAATTTGGAAAACGCAGATGCTACAGTGCCACATCAATGAATTTGCATATTTACACCTAGTGGTGGGTCCGGTCTCGCTCTGATGTTGATTCCATTCCGGTACCTCCATCCTCGTACCTTACCCCTTACCCCTACCCTACCCCAAACCCCACCCCGCGTACCCATTTTTCCCTATAATGACCTTACCCCACCCCCTACCACATGCCCCCTACCTCGGCCCCACCCTGATCCACCCTTCCCTACTGCCACCCCCTACCACCTCGACCCCACCCCGACCCACCCTACCCTACCCCCACCCCTCGTATATTACCACTTACCCCTACCTTACCCATTACCATATGCCCCCCTCACTCGGCCCCACCCCACCGCCATCCTACTCCCACCCTCGTACCGCCATCCTACCCCCACCCTTCCGCCATCCTACCCCCACCACCATCCTACCCCCCACCCTACCCTACCTCAGCCCCACCCGGATCCCGGGCCCACCCTACCGACATCCTATCTCAACTCCCTACCCTACCCCTACCTTACCTCAACCCTACCCACTACCCCCACCCTTACCGCCACTACCCCCACCGCCATCCTACATTCCTACCCCCCACCCTACCCCTTCCCTACCTCGGCCCACCCTGGTCCCGACCCCACCCTACCGCCATCCTATCCCAACTCTCTACCCTACCCTACCTTACCTCAACCCTACCCACTAGCCCACCCTTACCCCTACCCACGACCTTAACCCACCCATAACATCCCTACCCCGACCCCTACGAGTAGGTATGGGTAGGTATGAAGGGTTGTGGGGGAGTATGGGTAGAGTGTAAGATCGTGGTAAGGGTAGGGGTAGGGGTCAAGAGTGTGGAATTGGAGAACTGTGTGAAAAAATTGATGAACATGTTTTCAGATTTGAAAATGGAAAACTTAAAAATAGAAACATAAAATTGGAGATAGAAAAACTGAAAAAATAAAAACAGAAATTGGAGAACGAAAAACAGGAGTAGAAAACAGGAAAATATCTCTGTTGGTAAACAGGCCCTAAAGGTTTTATAATAAAAAACTAAGGACATATTAGTCCATAAAAATTGTCTATTTATTTAATTATTAATATATTAATTAGTTAATACGAATTTTGGTATTATTTTGGTAAAAAGGTAGTAAGGTCATAGATTGATAAACTGATGGAGTTTTAGTCACACCTAGAATAATATAACGGAATCATTTAATAATAGAGCACCCATTTTAATCGGCTTGGGCCTTTGACCGGATCAGTTTATTCAGTGGGCCTACTTCATGTGAAACGTGTTTCGAAGTATCCGTTAGCTGTCAGCTTAATCAAATACCCCGTAAAGAAATGGGAGATAATGCTCATTCATCAATTTCTTTATGCTAATCACTGAGAAACGCGTGAAGAGTCAGATATCAACTAGGGTTGTGGAAGCATCAAGAATCTCTGTGGTGCTCGATCCTTTCAGGTCCGTTCCTAAATCCTTCTATCAATTGTTTTAGTTGGAGTATAGATCATTTGATGCATTTCAGGAAGCTGTATATGTGATGACAGCCAAGGGAAAGTAAGGATCTGGTGTAGCCCTTGTGATGAATTGTAACGTTTACACAATGCAAGGTGATGTGCATATGAGATGAAATGAAGGGTGATGGCATTTGTGAACATAATGCTTTGTCCTCATTGGGCTAATGTCCAAATAGCATTCTTTTGGGCATTACAAGTAGTTTGATTTAGACCCATTTGATAGCCTGAGTTGGCTTGTTCTTTTGCAGAATAAGTAGCTTTTCATTAACTAATTTGGCTGAAATGGATTTCACCAAAAGTTTTGCCTTTCATAAATCCAGTTCAGCAGATTCAGCTATTTCACCCTAATAAACCTCACCTAACAGGCTCTTAGTTTCATGTTAATTAAGTTGTTCCATTGTTTCTTACTTTCTGTAGAGGCCCATGCATGTTCTGGCTTTCAATTTTTTCCAATTTCAACTCACAAGTATAGAAGACAATCTTTAAATAACCTGAAGAGGAAGCATGCGAAAGTGGCTGTGCTGCAACTGCCAAGCAGATGAGTCATACGCATCAACTGAAAATGAAGTTAAAAAAGCCCCATGGAATTATACGGATGGTATTTTCTGCCAGTTTTGTCCTTGCTTTGACTTTTAGTATATATTTTGTTCTTGCTGTCAGAAGCCTCTATTATAATGGGTTGAGAAGTTATATACTTATATACTCATCGGTGGTTCTGTTGTAGACTTGTAGCTTCACATCTTGAAATTCCCTATTTTATTGAGAGGAAAAAACATTTGATCTTGGGAATGAATGTGCCAAGTGGTTGGTTAGGACTGAAAAAATTCATTGACTAATTTGATAGGACGAACTTAATTCCTTGACTTCTGTCAGAGTAAATAATGTCAACCATCAAGTCGGCAGGTCATGGATGCTTTATTTTTTTTGTAAGAATGACAGGGTGTCAAATGCCGAGTGGTAGATATGTTAAATTTCTGGTTATAATTCATATCGAACATCTAACAGGCCTCATGATATGATACCTTAAAGGGACCTTGCAATGCACTTCTTTGTCTTCTTATGTTCAAAGTTTTACTCTACTTCCCCCAGGATTCTGTAAACCTTCAAAAGTTGGCTGGAAATGTCTACTAATAAAGTAATAATTCACGGTGTTGGGAAATAACTGTATGTTCAAGGCTATGCCAAACAATAAAAGTTCAGTTCAAATGGAAATATTGCACAATAGTGTTACTCTTTTTGTATAAAGCAAATCAATTCAATATAGTACAGGCATATAGCTATGATTTAATGTGCAAATCGTAGCATTTTTTTTGTTACAAGAGGCAACGTGAAAGGGCAAAAAGAAAATTTTATGCTAAATGTGATATTGAATTTCCTTTCAAGTACTTCCTACAAGAAAGGTCTTGTGCGATCATTTTGATAAACTAACGAGTATCAATTTTCAAATGCATGGCTCTCTTTCTAAGTAGCTAACTCACAACTTGGTGGCGACTCGGTCAAGTGCCGAGTAGTGAGTAGGACCAGTTCATGGGAATTACTCTAAACTACAAATATATATATATGCCACAAAGTTCTTGTAATATATCAGTCTTATAAGTTATACTATGTATATAATTATATATAAATCAAAACATATAATCAATACTTAAGTTGAAGCATAGATCATAACATTCAAAGAAGATTGACCATCTAAGATTATCTTATTTTCTTTTGAGGCTAGCATTGGCCTGAGGTTTCACCCATATTAGACACCCCACAAAAACTCATTACTGGAAAATTAGTGTTTTTTAATAAAAGAAACCAAACATTATATTAGCCACCAAACAGAAGGTACAAACGGAAAAGGCTTGATGCCAAAGTACAAACAGAAAGAGCAAAACAACAAATATGGCCAAAGCAAATATAACCAATACTACAGCAGTAAACTAATTGACGTAGCCCACACCACTAATTGATTACCTTCAAAATTTCTTCTACGGTTATGAATAAAGTTACTTATGTATAGTTACTGCCAATTAGTTGTATAATTAAATATAACAGTATAACACACATTCCTATTTTCTATTAATAAGTCAAAGAAGAAGAACTGAAGAAGTAGATGAAGAAGTGAAGAACTCACTGAGAGGGATAAGCCAATGTAGTCAAATGTTCTGATGCAATACTAAAAATTAGTCTATTTTTAGCCACTTCTAAAAATTAGTCTTCTTCACTTCTTAAAACCTACAGTTTAATAGTAATTTTCCGTTTAGTATAATAATGACAAGTAATTTTTAAATCCCATAGTATCCCAGTGTAGTTTTAGTCATGCAGATATAAAAGAAATTAGCTGAACAAGTTATTTAGTGCATAAATCAATGAGTCGCAAAAGTTGCCGAGCACTCGCGATTAACTCGGTATATTGATTTGGAACGAGTTGGCTAGCAACAGGACATAATGACAAGTTCTACACCGAGTCATGAGTACTTGCCCGATTGATAACACTAGCTCTCTATTAAACATTAAATACACTATACGAGCAGTTACTGCAAAGGGGAGAAAAATGAACTACACATGCATACCATTCAGAAGAAAAACCTTTTTGTTTAACTAAAACATGTGTTATGAATCGGTTGAACAAAGAACATACAGAATGGGAGAGCTTATGCGGTTATGCTCTGTCACACATGGAATATCAAAACATTGACAAACATTGACTGACTGGCCATAACTTCTGGGCAAAAGAAACCGTTTGTGCTGTAGCAACATCCCTATTGCTCTCTCTATGCTCTTGAAGTGAGCCATTTGTCTCTTTCCACAGTTAGGAATAAGCCTTAGCTGTTCTTAGTACTTTTCACCCGGTGGATCTCCTTGTTGCTTATATGAGTATATCTTCTTTGCACAAAGCTAAAATCCCCCATTGCTTAGTAACCTTAGATATATTCTTTGTGACAAGAAAGTAAGACTAACTTATCAACACAGTTCATTAAAAGCAAGCAAGTTTTGATTCCAAAATTTGTGAAATCCCGACTACCTTTAGTTTAATGGGAAAATCAAATTAGGGCCCTCTTTGCTTTGACTAATCTCTTAGTTTTGGTATTGACGGATTGACCATAGCAGATTGTTTCTTTCCTTTTTAAGTATGTTTGACAGTTATAACCCCTGTTATATAGGCGATTTATCTTTGTTTTCAACTAAGAAAGACCATTACAAATATTTCATCACAACTATATGGAAGGCCGATTGATGCTAAATGGTGCTGGAAAGTGTAAAGATTAGGCTTCAGGTGTAACTTAATGAAGAATTTGAGGTTACTCTTCTACGTATTCTGCTCCATAGCAGCATCCTTATTAAGGTAAATGATAGCCTAGAAAGGAAACAAATGGTTCCATAGTTTGTGGGATAGAAATCCCTCTTAATTAGGAATTAATCAATGAGGGAAATCAGGTTTTAATTCACGATTCTCTGTATTATAAGAATAAGTGAATGATGTGATTTCTAATTTCTTCTGGCTTATTTATTCCCGATCCCCTGATTTTCCACACATTATTATAATGTTCTTGTAAATATGAAACTACGACTGTACACCATGAGGGTTTGACCAGATTATTTAGCTCGTATGTGGGGAGTGGAGATTGAACTTGACATCTACTCTACACTTTGGCAGATAGACCGTTTTTTGTTCGTCTCTGTTGTTTGGAGATAGAACCTGATGTTTTGCATTTCTATCTAGTCTAGAATCACAGGATGATGCCACTAGATTACATGCTGAACGTTCAGGCCAGCAATTAGTACTGATAACTGCACTTTAATGGAAAAGGATTGAACTTGACATCTACTCTACACTTTGGCAGATAGACCGTTTTTTTGTTCGTCTCTGTTGTTTGGAGATAGTACCTGATGTTTTGCATTTCTATCTAGTCTAGAATCACAGGATGATGCCACTAGATTACATGCTGAACGTTCAGGCCAGCAATTAGTACTGATAACTGCACTTTAATGGAAAAGGATTATATTTAATATACCCCTTTGTAAGGTTGAGGTGTCAAAAGACAAAAGTAGATAAGAATAATGAAAGGTAGCTTTAGAAGGTTCAGTTAGTTGTTGAAAGTTTTTGATGAGAGGTAGTTGATAAACAGCAATGCTACCACAAACTAACGACCTAACATAATCACTTAGTATGTGTTTTGAGATCATCATATACTTTCTTGTTTGTTACACACTTGCAGTCATGATAAGGGTTTTTCTGTTCCACATCTGTTTTTTAGCGTTATAGATCAGTTGTATGTATGTTTCATTCTGTACTTACTATATATGACTGAGCCTTTCATAAAAAAGGATTAAAGGCTCCAGCCCTTACCAAGAATGAAGTGCAAAAAATAATGCCAACTATTGAGGTGCCCGAATTGTCACTGGATGAAGTGAAGGAAAAAACTGGCAACTTCGGACCAAATTCATTAATTGGTGAAGGATCATATGGTAGAGTGTACTTTGCAAAACTAGACAACGGCAAAGCTGTTGCAGTGAAGAAGCTAGATGTTTCATCTGAGCAAGAATCTGATGTTGAGTTTTTAAATCAGGTTTATGTTGCACTTTGCATAATACTCCTTTAGCTTTTTACCCTTTCCGCCCCTTAGACTTTTGATTCTTTACTTGTAACTGTTAGGTTTCCATTGTTTCAAGATCAAAACATGAAAATCTTGTTGAGCTGCTTGGTTATAGTGTAGAAGGGAATCTTCGCATATTAGCTTATGAGTTTGCAACCATGGGATCTTTACATGATATATTGCACGGTATGCAAACTGTGACTTGAATGTCAATATTTGCTTAACCTGACGTCAAAATTGTAATTGGAAAAGTATAAAAAAATATTTATGAAGTGTTTTGGACTTGCAGGAAGAAAGGGTGTACAAGGAGCACAGCCTGGCCCTACACTTGACTGGGCGCAACGGGTAAGGATTGCAGTAGATGCTGCAAGGGGACTTGAATATTTGCATGAGAAGGCCCAACCATCTATTATACACAGGGATATAAGATCCAGCAATGTTCTCCTTTTTGAAGACTTCAAAGCAAAGATTGCAGATTTTAACCTTTCCAATCAAACTCCTGATATGGCTGCCAGGCTTCACTCTACTAGGGTTCTGGGAACTTTTGGTTATCATGCACCGGAGTAATTTTAATCATCTCTTTCCCCTATTAGTTTTGAATATTTTACTATACATGCATATGTTTCCATGTTATGTGTATGGCTGATAGAGTCAAAGGCTGTCTATTGCCTGTGATGGTTCATGCTGCCAAATGCGGTAGAGCCTTAGTCTCAATTCTTCACATTCTTATTGGATGTGCATATTTACTTTGTAATCTGTAGAGCAGAAATTGGACTCTTTTGACTGATGTCTATTGAGTATTGACCTAGATTTAAAAATAGTATCATTTTCAACTTAAAGATGTTTTTAAAGTAATATCTTATGCTGAGAATTTCAATTATAATATTGGCGTCTTAAATGGAGAATAATTGTGATGAATAAAATAGGAACCATATATTATCGGTGATCGTTTATGAATAATTTTGTCTAAACAAATAACAGATTTATGTCAATTAAGAGTCTAAGGGGGCTCTACATCATAAAGGAAGAGATTTGTATAAAATTAGCAGAACCCGGTGGTTCTTCATGCTTTCGCAGTTCTGGCATATGAATAGTTCATCTTTAGTAAATTCCGTAAGAGACTTGTTGTTAATTGGCTAGTTGGTTTTGACGTCTATGTATACCCCGTGTTGTAAAAACCCATCTAGGTGCTAGGCACTCCTTAGAGCCCAAGTTTATTTACACCCTGTCTAACTCCAATTAATTCTCAACAAGACTTTCGGCCCCAGTCTGCCACCTAGCGAATTTTGAAACATTGTGCATACCACTCTGGGTGTTTTCAGGATATAGGTGGACAAAGCTAGGTTTGGGTGAATGTGAACTATGTTTGGGAGATAACTTTGAATTTGGTTGGAGTATGGAAATGTGGTTTTAGATGTATAACTATAAATATTTATTATTTATGCAATGTAACAATTACTGCCTCCGTCCTATTTTATGCGTCTCTTTTGGTTTTGGCACAATTATTAGCAAAGTGGTTGAAAAGGTAAAAGTTGTGGTTGAGATTTGAGTATAATAAAGTGAAATGTTGTGAACCACATATTTCTTTCCAAAAAAGGAAATGTGACACTTATTTCGGGACAACCCAAAAAGGAAAGTAAAACAGACAAAATGGGACGGAGTATTATGTAAACATTATATTTAAATGTTTTTATTACAAAATTAATGGATTTGACCAATAGTGTTGGCCAGTCCTTTTCTAATAATAGGCGTGGCTGACAGAGCTCGCCAGCCTGTTGGGTGATGTGAAACCAAAAACTTTTGCTCTAGTTCAGCCACATCTCTATCTATGGAGACATGGTTTAGTTACTTCAGTCAATATTTAGGTTAGATCGATGCTGTCCCAAGAATGGTTTTGGCAAACTGAACGTGCAACGTGCTATTGAACCGTGTTGTGTATATGGTTCTTGAGAATATAAGATGCATTAATACGTGGCTTTTCAAAATATGGTTTTCAAAATCATTAGTTATATAATCTGAATTATTATTTTTCAGATACGCAATGACAGGACAGCTCACTCAGAAGAGTGATGTGTATAGTTTTGGAGTTGTCTTGCTTGAGCTTTTGACTGGAAGGAAACCTGTCGACCATACCATGCCTCGTGGGCAGCAGAGCCTTGTTACATGGGTAAGTAATAGAGATATCTTCCTCGCTTTTCCTTTGGTATTGTACTATCCTTCATTAATTACTGCTACTACTATTGCCTAACCTTTGTTCTGCTACATGCATGTTTCTTTTAGGCGACCCCTAGACTGAGTGAAGATAAAGTGAAACAATGCGTAGATCCAAAACTCAAAGATGATTATCCCCCGAAAGGAATAGCAAAGGTGTACCCCCTGTTCGTGAGAAATTTAGAGGAATTATTTAAAAAACATTTTTTTTACTTGGTCTGAAGATCTGTGAATTGATCTATTTCAGCTTGCAGCTGTGGCAGCATTGTGTGTACAGTATGAGGCGGAATTCCGTCCAAATATGAGCATTGTTGTTAAAGCCCTCCAGCCGCTATTGAAGTCATCTGCTCTTCCTCCTGCCCCCCCTCCTGAAATTTAACATTAATACCATTTGTTGCTCACTGTGTGGGCTGTGTGCAGCTTCTCCGGCTTGTTTCATATTGTGAAATAGCTGTCTTTAACAACCGTCAATTTGCCTTTTCTTTCATTCGGATTTAAATTATGATTCATTATGTGGGTTGCATTCTTCTTTGACCATGTTATTTGATTGAAAATCCTCTTTTTGTTCCCCTGAGTGCACTCTTCTAGACTTCTAGTTAAAGTGTTAGACCATTTTCATTCATATTTTCGGTATTCATTGCTCTGCATTGTGAATTTATGAGAAATTCAACATCAGAGTATGTGTTTTTGCATGTCAGAATTTATGAATATAGGCAAGCCCATTGTGCAGGAACCTTTTGTGCAAATTATATTGCATGGTGTGCATGTACCTATACAGTCTCATTTTATATTTTAAAAACTTGCAGCTACTGCCTACTGGACTAATCATCCGCTCCTCTTTTCCGAATTCCGATCATCTCCTTCCCTAGACTCTCCATTTTTTTCCTTCAGTTATCTTCTTTGTCATCAACATACTAAGAATTTAACCATGATTTTGCACCTTCTCATATCAAATTAAGTTACGCATAAATCTAGATATTTGTCTTCTATATCAATTAACAATTAAAGTTTTTTCAATCTAAAACAAAAATTCAGATTTTCGGTATTTCTCAGTGTACGTGTTTTTGCATGAGTTATAATTTATTGTGAATTTATGAGAAATTTATCCCCAAAGTTGGTGTTTTTGCATGTTAGAATTTATGATTATAGACAAACGCATTGCGGAGGAACGGGAATTCCATTGGAAAATACGCTATTGGTTATTACCAACCATTTGGCAATGGAAATTATATCGTGGTATGATATAGCAAATACTCTCCCCGTCCCGCTATGATTGTCCCATTTTACCATTTTGGTCCGTCCCATTAAGATTGTCTCATACCTTATTTGGTATAGTTTGTGTGGTTCTAAACCATTCCTACTTTATTCTTACTTTACCAATTCAATATCAATCATACAAACCCACTTTTATTAATAACCGTGTCACCTTCTCTTGTCCCAAACTTAGGGGGACGGAGGTAGTAGTTATTAACTGAATTGACACGTGTATAACTACTTTACTTGTATTCAGTTAGTAGCTGATAGATATAAAAGGAAGCTAGCTATTGTAATCTGAAGACTACTCCTGTTAATATCAATAATACTCCTCCGTTCTCGGTGTTCATCTTGTTACCCAAGAAACCAGACCTGGACTTGGGTTAGAGAATTGTTGTTTCACATTAATTCTCAAATTCTTCTGATTTCTTTATCAGTTTTCAGTTCAATTCTTTTTAATACAGGCTTGCTGTATTAAATTGGTATCAGAGCTTTGAACCTTGGAACGCTCCGCCATGACCCAAACTCGAACGCAATCAACACACAGGGAGATGACATCTCAACAGTTAGAGGAATCGATCAATTCCAAAATCATAGTTCTTGAAGATCGCATGAGCAAGAAGATTGATGCTAAGATGGAGGATCAGTTCGTGCATATGAGCCTGAAGTTTGATGACTCATTAACCACAAAGTTTGCTGAATTTTCAAAAGAAAATTTTGAAATCATGGAGACGATGAATAATCGAAGTCCGAATTCAGTACAAGCAAACCGTACACCCCATAATCAAGGATACTCAGGTTTGACAAGATTATCAAGGCTGGACTTTCCAAAGTTTGGAGGAATAGATGTTAAAGATTGGCTATTCAATTGTGAGCAATTTTTCACCATAGACCGCACTCCAGAAGATATCAAAGTCAATTTGGCTTCAGTTCACTTGGAAGATAAAGCTTCTTGCTGGCATCAATCCATGATATCTTCAGAGCAGAATAGAGGTATTATCCTTGATTGGCCTAGATATAAAATTTTAATAACTGAAAGGTTTGGTGAGGTTGTTGATGATCCAATTGCTGATCTTATGAAATTAAGAGAAACCGAAGGAATTATTGCTTATAATGAGAAATTTGAGTCAATAAGAAACAAGGTGAAATTATCTGAAGAATATTTGGTGAGTGCTTACTTAGCTGGCTTGAGAAATGATACACAGATGCATATAAGAATGTTTCAGCCCCAATCTGTTCGACAATGTTTCACTTTGGGAAAATTGTATGAATTGGCTCATCCAAGAACAAATTCTGTCAGTATGAGTTGAAGCTTTAATAAAGGAAGTTTTAACAGAAATGAAGAATTGGGAAAAAGAACTTCATTTAGCAATTTATCTAAAGCTGGAGGAATACATAAAGGAGAAAAAATACAGAATTCAAGAGAATGGGAAAAAGGGGGTAGGAAAATTCTTACTGCAGCAGAAATGAGTGAAAGGAGGGCTAAAGGTCTATGCTAACAGTGTGATGAACCTTATACACCTGAACATTATCTGAGGCATAAGAAGAGTAAGTTGTATCTGGTGGAGATGGAGGAAGATGAAGAAGAGATGAGTACAGAAGAAGACAACATATTGACACAAGAAAATATACAAATTTCTGTCAATGCTATGGCAGGGGTATCACATTACAGCACCATGAGAGTAAAGGGAATGCATGGTAAAAGAGCACTCTTCATTCTAATAGATTTTGGCAGTACGCACAATTTTATAGATAAAAAGATAGCTGAAAAGCTAGGCTGCAAATTAATAAACAATGGGTTGGCCAGAGTCACTGTAGCAGATGGCAATACCATAGATGTAACAGCTAAAGTGGAAGGATTTCAATGGACATTCCAACAAACTCAATTCACAACTGACCTTATGGTGATCTCATTGGGAAGCTGTGACATGGTCGTGGGAATTCAATGGCTAGAGACTTTGGGAAAAATTTCTTGGGACTTTAAAGAGCTAACTATGGCATTTAAAGTGGCCACCAAGAAATTAGTGCTACAAGGAATTAAGCAAGGATCTGTGAGGGAGATCAAAGCCAAAGAAATGAATAAGGTTTTGAATCAGGAAGGGCAAATTGCTATGATCTATGCAAGGGAATATACTGCAACAAACACAGATTGTTTTTTATCTGCCATGGAAGTTGATAGTGAAATTCCAGATGGTATCTCTCACTTACTGACTGAGTTTGAAGACATCTTTGAGGAACCCAAAGAGTTACCACCATTCAGAGAAGGACATGATCATAAGATTCCCTTAATACAAGGTGTCAACCCTGTCAACCAAAGACCTTACAGATATGCTATGTGTCAGAAAAATGAAATTGACAAGATAGTGGAAGAAATGCTGAACTCAGGAGTCATTCAACCAAGTTCCAGTTCATATTCTTCTCCTGTGGTATTAGTAAAAAAGAAGGATGATTCTTGGAGATTATGTGTGGATTACAGGAAGCTAAATGCTAATACTATCAAAGACAGATTCCCTATACCTCTTATTGAAGACTTAATGGATGAACTGGGAGGAGCCAAAATATTTTCATAGATAGATCTCAGATCCGGATATCATCAAGTGAGAATGAGCAAATAAGATGTACATAAGACAGCTTTCAAAACACACAATGGACATTATGAATTTGTTGTAATGCCTTTCGGCTTAACAAATGCACCTGGAACATTTCAATACCTAATGAATTCAGTATTCAGACCTTTTTTGAGGAAGTTTGATGACATCTTAGTTTACAGTGCTCCAATAGAGGATCGTGTAATTCACCTGAGATTAGTATTTGTAGCTATGAGAACTAACAAACTGTTTGCTAAGAGGAGTAAATGTGCTTTTGCTGTCAATAAAGTGGAGTATTTGGGGCATACATTTCTGATAAAGGCATATTTACTGATCCAAAGAAGATTGAAGCTGTGACTAATTGGCCTGTTCCTAAAACACTGAAACAACTCAGGGTTTTTTTGATAGGAACCCGGCCAGTTTCATTAATAAGAATAGATATGGGCAGGTCTATTCTAGAAGGGGGACATAGACTAGTTGGGTTAGTTATTAGTTATAATTCTGTTGTTAGCTAATAACAACCTTCCGGTAAGTGGAAGGATATAAATAATAAGAGTCTGCAGAGGGAAGGTAGGCTTTTGGTCAGTTGACTGGGAATTGGGAAGCGGGAGTCTTATCTCCTACTTTGGCTTGTATTCTGAGAATTGTTGAATAAGAATTTCTTTTTGTTTTTCCTTACTGGTGCCTGTGAATAATCTGTGTGCTGTGTATGAATTACTGGAATTGCTTGTGTGATTCTCTGAGTTGTGTCAGGAATCTATCATTGGTATCAGAGCAGGCGATTCTGTGAATGGTTGGAACTCGGAAAAACATGGAGGGAAGAATAGCGGAAGTGGAAACGAAGTATGATAATTTGATCACGATGATGACAGCAATGCAGGCTGGCATTGCGGATCTGCAAAACAAGCATTCTGATCGATCTAGAAGTCGATCACATCACTCTACATCATCGCGTCATACACATCGCCATGGACATGCGAAGAACGGCGATAGTTCAGAAGGTTCGGAAAATCACTCAGATCACTCCGTTTCGCACAACCATCGCGATCCACACAGAAGTCACCGGAGACATCAGCCGGTAAGTAGAAAAATTGACCTGCCAATTTTTAATGGAGAGGATGCCGGTGGATGGGTAATAAGAATGAATCGGTACTTCCGATTGAACCATACCGACGAAGATGAAAAAATCGATGTCGTTGTTGTAGCCATGGAAGACCAAGGGTTGAGTTGGTTTCAATGGTGGGAGAGGCAAGCTCGACATCAAACCTGGGAGACATTTACTGCGGCTTTATACAAACGGTTTCAACCTGAATTGGTGCAAGATCCTTTAGGACCTTTACTCAGCTTGAAGCAAAAAGGAACGGTGGCGGAGTATAGGAATAAATTTGAAACTGCCATGGCATCTCAGAGCCACTTAACTGAAGAAAATTTGAGAGCTATTTTCCTTAAAGGTTTAAAGCGCGATGTAAGAGCAGAACTGAAATTATATCGTGCCATAACCTTGGCAAATGTTATGGATGTTGCTTCACTGATAGAGAAGAAGAATTCTGAAGTTTTATATGTGAAAAACAAGATGGAAGGGAGGAAAACAGTACAGAGCAAAGTTAACAATCAGTACCAGGGGCATATCTGGGGAGAAAGCAGCAAGTGGAGGAGCAACCAGATAAATCCAGGAAATTCCATCAATGGAGGAAAGATGGCAAATGAAAATAAAAGCCACTATGAAGGGAA